TATTTATTTTATTTACAAGAGTAGACTTAAACTTAAAATCTACTGGGAAGGAGCCATGGCGACAGCCGTCTTCAGCTGGAATAAAACTAAATTATTGTAGAGTATTTAATTAAAGTGGAAATTTAAATATGGTTCGAACATGCAAAAACTCTTAAGAAGAGTTTCGCTTATAATAATTTTAAATATATTTTTGTATAACAATAAATAAATATAAATTTGTTGTGATTTGTGAATTATATATTAATTATATATCTAAATTTTCGAAAGTCCATCACTACCAAATGGCAATTTTCTTAAAAGCAAAAAACTTGTCAGCTATGTACATAAAAGTATATAATATTTTTAATATAGTCTACGGCTCCTTCTCTCTCACCGGAACCGGAAGTAGCAGCGCATACAGCAGCATTTAGCATCAACCTCAATCAGACCTCAATTCCTCAATTATTATGACACATTTTGATTGCAAATTCCTAGTACTTGCTCGATTTAAAAGCACAAAGAACTGCGATTAAATGTTGTGTAAGGAAAGTTATTTTTTCCCCCGAAACGTCATTAATATTGCAAAAGGCTGTCGATAAACAGACTATGTCAAAAGCACAACCTTATAAATGGCATAAATGTTGAAGACTACCCAATTAATAAATTGAAGCCACCACTCTGAAGAGACTATTTTGTTATAATTAGGGAATTTAATTCGAATCGCCAAATAACTCTTCTAACAATAGTATTGATGGTTTTTATTAGTGACATTTCCTAATGAATATTTAACATATTTTTTTATAGAAAATTTTTTTTTGAAATTATTTTTATTTACAAATTCTTTTGTCATTATAACTAGATTAATATTGATATTTAAACTGAGGAATAGCTGTTTAAATACTCTTACTTGACACATACTTAACTTACTACTAACTTAATGCATGTTAGACTTTGAAAGCCGACTTGGGAGTTCTAGTCAATCTATTTTACATTTGAAAATATTCGAATTACCTATTAAAATTAAATCTACTAAAATATTATTCATATTTAAATAGGTAATTGAATATGCATTTAGTTAAATTTACGTTGTTTTTATTTGATTTAGATACGAAATATTAGAACATTGAATTTATTATGAAATTATTCATTTGTACTATGCAATCTTTTTTTGAACGATTGGAAAAGCATTGGCACTGGATAAAGGCACTAGAGAAGGTGATAAAATAAATTTTAAGAAAATTATTAAATTAAATTAAATTAAAATTGTAAAAGTACACAGCAACAGAAATAATTTGTTCAACGAAAATGGAAAAGTTCTAATGAACACCATAACAAAAATTGCAAGAAATATTTGAATATTTGCAGAACAGATGCTATAGTATTATAGCATTAATATAACACAGCGAGTGTTTGTTCCAGTAAATAATATGATGGAATAGCCATAGAAAATTCCCTATTTATAGATGCAACAGCACACCACCTATCCATCTATCTATGTATGTATGTATGTATGTATGTATGGGTGTGTATTATGCCGGCCCCTATCACATTTCCTCTGCCACAAAAGCAACAATCAAAATCAATCGCACAAAATTACACGGAGCACATTAAAGATAAACGAAAGAAAAAGAGGGGGACGACAACTAATAAAGCCATCAGAAAAATTCTCAAAGCAACACGTTAAGTTCTAAGAAAATCGACGCGCCGTCCAACGTGTGGAAGAATTGTGTAATTTTATGTTTGAAATCAAGAAATATCAAATATATAGTCGTCTGCTGGCGCCATGGCTGATTTCGTGAATGCCAGAAAACGGCAAGCTGTGATATGAAACCTCAATATTTTTAACTATGGCGCGTTAAGAACGCCTAATGCTACTGCATAAGAATCAGACAAGTATTGTTAAAAGAATTGGCATGTGCCATGGGCTGTGCGACCAAAAATGGCACAAAGTATTTGTCGGCTTGACCAACCGACGACGCGAATAAAAGATATGCGATAAAAAGATAAAGATACGTCAGATAATTTGCATAATTGTGTGATTTGCATGCTAAACGCGCGTGATTCATGCGTGTGAGAGCAGAGAAATATGAACAGTACAAATTACTTAACAACAACACCAGGCCGTCTAGCTTTTAAACAAATTATTCAAAATTTGGGGAAAATAAAAAACTGATTCATCGCCATGAGAGCAAAAGACTTGTTGTTGGACCATTTGCGAGTCTTCTTGCTCGTATTTATATCGGGTCATTATTCTGCTGGAAGAAGCATAACAAAGGCATTCTTCTTCTAAATATTGCACCAGCTCCATTATAAGAAAAACCATTTTAAAAAATTGGCTTTTCACTGTTCATTGTTTTTTCGCCGCCACTATATATTTTGATCTTTGTATAAAAATAATATGCATTGGAAGTTTGTAAATTATTGTTAAAAGATTGATTCAAATATCTTACAACGACTACATTTATATTTTATTTTAAACAATATCCATTATGGGAAACCAAAAAAAAATATAAACTTCTTACTATTTTTTCTCAGCCACTGTTTATTTGGATCTTTGCATAAAAATAATAAGCATTGGCAGTTGTATATGTATTATGGCTGAAAGATAAATTTAAATACGGACCACATTTATATTCTCTTTTAAACAATATGGATTTTAAGAAAAAATAAATAAATAAATTTAAATAAAAAAAATTATTTTTTTACACTATTATCTCGTTAGCACTGTAAATTTCGATTACATAACCATTATATGCATTCCCCCAAGAACAATTGTGTATTATGACCGAAAAAATAGATCAACAAATATCTTTTATGGACTATATTCATATTTTCTTGTAAACAATATCCACTGTAGAGGTACAAACACCAGCTGTTGGTGTGCGTTTGCGGCTTGTGGCGTCTGCCTTCTGGCTTAGAATTTTGTTGTCTATTTGTCTGCTCGGTACATCTAGAAAATCCCATGACTAAATGTTACATGTTCATCAGGCATTTGATTAAGTCATTGAATCGCGTCAGTGCTTGTCAAACTGTGTGCTATCAAGCACGAGTATGTGGGCGCTAATGTGTTAGTGGCTGTCAATAAAAGCCAATGAACTGAACACAAATGCAACGATTGTCGCTATTGCTGCAGCCGGGAGCAGCCAAGGCCTGACATAAATCACTTACCCTCCGATTATTAGACAATAGGTAGGCATATCAAAGCGACTCACACACACAGACTTTGATACACGTACCACCACTCACCAAGACATGCACACACACAGAATGCACAACAACAGCAACCTGTTTTCGTTGCAACAAAGAAATGAAAAAGGAATTTCGAAAAAAATCACACTGGTCGACAAAGTTTTCTTACAATTCAAATGATGGACAATTTTTAAACATAGCTGAAACAGGTATCAGGTGAAGTTTTTACTTTAAACAGTCTCAGAAAACGAATTTTTTTTTTTTGGTTAAAACATAATGCAAATCTAATTAAAGTTAATTTTGTTATTGGGCCATTATTTGTTTTGGATTAAACAAAACCAGTTTATTCTTTACTACAAAAACAGAAAAAGCAAACCAAACATAAGGTTTCAGAAGTAGTTTTTCAAATTAATAAATAAAAGTTATTACCTACATCATCACTTAAGACTGTGTTTAATTTCAAAATATTTTTATAAACTAATTAGCAAGTTTATTTAAATACAACAATTTTTTATAAATTCTTCGTTGTGCCGAATTTATTTCTAATTTTAAAATTTATTGTCTTTAAAGTTGTATTATTAGCTCCCTTTTTTTAATTCAACAAATTTTTAATTTATGTACTCTCTATACTATAGACTATTGTATTATATCATAATTTACGATAAAAAGATATTATATATCTATAAGCGAAATAAAATATATAAATAAATATATAAATATAAAATATATAAATATATAATATATAAATAAATATATAAATAAATATATAAATATAAAATATATAAATATTGATAAATTGAAATTACATTCGAATTTGCTGCAACAACTACTTAAAAAAAAAACAATCTTTATTTGACGTAAAAACAGCCAAGTCGACAACACTAGTCACCAGCCCTTATCACTGAGTTCCCGTGTTTGTAATCACTTTTTTGTGGTTCTATGCTGTTGCAACATGCTTGTGTTACGTTCCGAACATTGCGAGTTCATCTGCCTCTCAACATGTTCCACCTGCCGCACATACGATTTTGTGGCCGGAAACACTAGCACCAATACAACTTGTTGCAACGCTTCGGTTCAAACATGTGTGCTACGGTGGCGTTGAAAACGAACACTGTTTAGCAATACGCAACGCTCTGGCAACATGTTGCTAAGAAATTGAAAAATTTCTATTACACACACAATAGAAATATAATGTAAATATATCTACTCGTATTGTACATATATTATAGCTGAAAATTTTAACTTAAAGCTACCATTAAATAAATTAATTAATAACTAACTAAATAAATAAATGATTAATTAAATAAAATAAAGAAATGAAGAAAAAATAAATAAATAAAATTTTTTTTTTCTTCGTATTTTATTTAAAACTGTCCATCATGGACAATCATTAAATTGGATAAAGATAAACTTTACAGTTTATTATTTCATTTAGAGTGTGGTTGTAGTATCCGGCTAGTCCCTGGGGAGGTCCAGAGGATGGGTCCTGAATAAAATATAGCATTACATTTTTTAAATTGCTATCAAATTAAAATTTTTAAAAATGCATTAAAATAATTTCAGAAAATACTACATATTTTCTAATAATTATTATATCTATTATTGATATTTTTTATTATTTATAGTGAAGAATATTTAATACAAGCTGCGCTACTTTTTCAAACATATTGATATAAATTCTATAACATTTTCCCTCCCATCGGCATGCGAAAAAGTGCAGAGCTGGCGGGAAAATAGCTAGCTCGGCAACACTGATGCAACGACCAACCGATTGTTGAGCAACAAACAAGTTTTCTGCTCTCGCCAGTCAACGACGAGCAGCACGCGTGAGCAGTTCGCTTCGGGTTCCGGTCCCTCCAAACAAATAGTTGCGGCGGTCGCTCGTTTGCCAGCGTAGAGCAAAACAGTCAGAATAGATTTGAAAATAAGATTTTGCATGAAACAAAATTTGTTTTTTCAAACCGAATAGCGCGCGAGAAATGCGAATGCGACGCGACCCACGGCCACTTCAAAGCTACAACAAATTTCAATAAAATGTTGGTGTAAACAAAATAAATAAAAATCAAATCCCCTAAGTGTGTAGCAACTAAAAATTACTTTAAGTCAAAAAGATAAAATAAAAATTAAAAGTGCGCAACAATTTACAATTACAAAGATACTTTTGTATCTCGAGGTGCATTTTTGCAGTCGACCAAGCTGGCGGTGCAGGGGGAGGGGGACTCTTTGCGAGTGTTGTTGTTATTGTTTTTGTTGCATTGTGCGAAAGTAAAAACTACCTGCTGGGTAGAAAAAAAACGCATGGAAACCTGTTTTGTGGAAATGATTGGCCGTCTTTTTGGTGTTGTTTGTGCGGTGGCTGCCATTCGTTTTCGACAGAAAATCTCGAACAATAATGAACAGCAATTGCGCGCACAATTGGCTGCAAGTTTTGGCCAAATTATTTATTTCTCTGCAATATACGGCCTAAATGGTGAAACCTCTAAGAATTACCAAAGAAATCATCACGCAGTGACAGACAAACTTCAAAAGAGCGTTCAAATCAACTAATTAAGCAATGAAAGCCCTAGAACTACAAAGCCGCACAAACACTTCATTTTGTTTGCTAAACTTTTATTTTTGTTTTTGCTTTCAAACTGATTAATTATTTAAGAAATTAAAGCCCTACGACTGAAAAGTAGACCAATAATTTCATGTTGTTTGATAAACTTTTCTTTTTGGCTTTTAAATTGTTTAATATTTGACTGATTAGTTAATCAAGAAATTAAAGCCAATAATTTCATTTTGTTTGATAAACTTTTCTTTTTGTTTTTGCTTTTAAGTCGTTCAATATTTTGCCACATTTTATTGAATTGAAATTAGAAATTAAGTCGACTATTTCTTGAACTAGCAGCCCATTATTATTCTTCCAAATTATGACAAAACTCTTCATCTTTAAATTTTAAACACGATTTTTGTTGAACACTAAGGTTTTTCAACTTCAATTGCCAATAATTTGTCTTTTTTGTTATGAATAGATAAATATTGAACATATAGAAGCTCTTTAATGTTATATCTCAATCTCAATTTCTTCATATTTTAATCAGTTATAAAAACATTGTTTTTCTGATAGTATTTTCTGCTAATACCTAGTACCTGAATAATCTATATATCATACCCCTATTCCTGCAGCATCATATATAACCACATGAGTAAATGCAATATAGAAGAGTGAAACATTAGTTGCAATTAAGTCCTAAACAACGTTCAAAGGGACGGCACACAACGCCTTAAAAAAGTGAAACTTCAATAAAAAAAAACATATATAAATATATACATATATAAACATATATAAATAAAAATAATCAAAGGCTATAATGCTGACGTCCACCACATCGACGGCCACGATGACAAACTCATCCTCATCGGCCACACCCACGCCGGGCTCGACATCATCGAACAGCACAACGCTAGAGACGCTGCAGCAGCATCAACAACAACAACAGCAACAGCAGCAACAACAACTGCAACAACAACTGCAACAACTGCAAGCAACAACAACAACAAATGGCTCACGTCCGCCATCGCGTGCTCCATCCATACTGGACAGTCCGACATTGGCGCGTGTGGAACGCGCGCGTCTGCGACTGGAGCAGGAGCAGCGGGAGCGGGAACGGGAACGGGAGCGCGGCAGTGGCGGTGGCAGCAGCACCGGTACTGGCAGCACAGCCACTACCATGAATCGGGAGGATAGCTTGGAGCGCAGCATTCTGGATCCCAAGGTGTGTGTGAGTGTTGAATAGCATTTCCATTCAACTATATATAGTTAACAATTAAGTTCAAGTATAAGTGAGGGGAATTGGATGGGAAAATTGAGCATCTAGCTAAACACTTTCTAATCCAAGTGCTGAATTGAAGCATTCTGATTGTAGAGAGTGTAAATATTATATTATTATAATATATACCACCTGCCTATGTAGTAAGATGACAATTTTTGACAAATACTGATCAAACACTGGCTCTAATAGTATGTGTCTAAAAAGAAAGCTGTAGAAAAAGAAAAACTCTTTTAATTGAATATTTCTTTTTCTGCAAATTATGAGACTTATTTTATTTAACGATAATATGCTAAGCATATACATATCTCATCAGATTTGTTTGCCATTTAATTGGAAACAAAATTTCCATGTTCTATGACTATATTTTCATATCAATCTATTCCAAAGACTTTATAAAATAGTTGGCTGCCTATTTTACCAAATTTTTCGGCAATCTGGCCTTAGCTTAAACTAATTCAAATATTAGTTTTTTAAATAGCCTCCGATTTTATAATCATTTAGAGATAGAGATATATCGGAAAAGGCTTAGAAAATGGTTGCATTTAACAATGAACGACAGAAAGAACTCTAAGAAACTCTAGAGTGTTCTTAAAGGCCTCCAGCTGCCTGCTAACTGGATACTCCCAATAGACCAATTCATTCCCAAACAAAACGAGAATAGCTTAAAAGATCAATTATATGATCTGCTTTTAAATACTAGATCTACACTCTAATTTATTGAATTTATACAAATGTTTTATAGAAACTTTTAAAGACTCTACTTACAAATCAAAGTCCAATCATAAGTCATCTTTTGGGATTCTTAAAGCAAATACAAAATACATTTATAAGATAAAAGTTTATTGTGAATTCCACCCAACTAACATACTATATATACTATATATTTTGTTGATGAATATAATTAGTTGAATTGTTGCTATATCCAGAATTCAAATTGTTCTTAAGCCTATGGCCTATTATTTTGTGGTCGTTCAGCTTATGCTGAGATAATCAAGCTCTTAGTTGAACCAAAAAGGCCACAAAGAGCCCTCGCATAAGAGGAGGAGCAGTGGAGTCTAGAGAAGCAGCTGCTTACAAAATTGATGCGTTTCCGACGCGCCAAATTAGCTGAAGATTTCGGCCAAGCACTCACGCACTCACACACACACACACACCCAGATACACAATTACATTGGCTTAAACAAAATAAGCCATAGATTTTTGTTCTTGCGTCAGGCACGGCACTCGACCGCATTTTGCTAATGGCCCACGAATACTCCCCGACCGCCCATGACTTCTGCTCTGTCCTCCCCCCACCTCTGCCCACAGCGCTGGTCAGCAGCGGCTTGTTCTTTGGCCCTCAAGCTCTGACCACTCGCACTTTTTTTTTGGTTTTGTTGTTTTTTTTTTTTTTGCTACTTATTACCAACAATGTCAATGCATGTAAATGCTTTTTATTTTGTTATTATTTTGTTAGCGCTTTTATCTGCACTCTCCATTGTTGTTGTTGTTGGTACTGGCATTGCGGTCTCATCAACTGGCAGAAAGCTGTTTAGGCTCCGGTCGTTTATATTTGGGCTTTAAAGCTTAAACAACGTACTGTGAGACGAGTTTATCTGCATATTGGCCGGCCTACCTGGCATGTGGCTTAAAAAGTGAGCCATGTAGTAGCTCGGTGGGGTTCGAAATATGAGCTGAAATGTATGTCGGACATTTGGTAAATGTTTTGAAAGGCCATAAAGTTGGATAAGAGTCTCGAAACATAGATAAATAAGATTGGTGCAAGAGCTACAGCCGACCACATTGCTATCAAGGGCCATACTTAGGGTGCAATTAAAGGGGTTTTCAATTGTGTATAACTTTTTTTTTGCACAGACTGACTGACTGCAACAGAAGGAAAAAAATGTTTTAAAAATCATAAACTTTCTTATAAAACGAGAGTCAAAATTTATCTTTAAAGCTAAACTCTTGGATTCTTCTTTGAAATACTAAAAAGCCGCACGATTTGGCAAAAATATGTTTGCATTCAGGATCTAAGCAATCAGCTCTCCTAACTCTTATTTGGATAAAATAGAGATGATGAATAATTTTGGAATAAAAAGTATATTTTTAGATCCAGAACAAAGTGCATTATTTAAGAAAATTACCTGCACTTTTTTGACAAACAATTAGCAGCTCTGTTAAGTTCTTTATAACAGATATTTTCCTGAACAATCATGCTCTTTTATTTCTTTTCGAGAGATACATTTTATTCTCTTGTGTAAGCGCACTTTTAGGATCCTGCAATTTATCAAATTTAAAAAGTTAAATAGTTTCTGATTGCCAAAAAGCCTCTACAGTGTCCCTTTTTCTCATCTCAGCCCATCTGTAGATCAAAGCTATGATTAGACATGCAAATAATTTGCACAAAAAACTGTGTGCTATTTTAAAAGTAGACTTTGAATCTGAAAGTCTTTGAAATATAGTTATTCTAGCTTTTCAAAATTGCATAAATTTGCTTGCAATTATTTGCCTGTCTGACCATAACTTTAGAAATTCCAAATGTTGGTAGCAGTCAAGAGAAGGCGTGAGCCAAAGCTGTATATATGATCAGCCTGCCAAGGCGAATCCATAAACCCTTGTTCGTCTGGATGCACATCTATAACTATTAATCCACAAAGGCTATTCATAGGAAAACTATATTTATTTAAAACCATTATAATTTATATAGCTGTAACCCATTGCAAATATACTGTAAGCAAAATCTTTTTAAATATTCATTGTTAATGTTTACTTCAATTTGAGAACTTTTGGAAAAGGGGTCGTGAGCTCAAAAGTGTGTTCCTTTGAGCCGCTCGACGCCTCATTGGCTGCAACAACTCAGCGAAAAATTGTACACATGTTTGCTTCAGCGCCAAATTGTCTGCATAATTTAGTCAATTTTTTTTTGTATAACATCCAAACATTTGCGCAGTCTTTGATTGCAGCTGCTGCCGGTCGTAGTTTTTACAGATTTCTGTCAATAAACTTGCACGTTGACAGCTTTACAAGACAGGCCGGCATTGAAGATACTGCCACTATATTTCGTTTGCCAATTTAGTGCTGGGACTTTTTGCCTTTGCCCTTTTCCCCCCTTCCTAAGTCTATATGTACTCGCCCTCCGTGGCTTTTGCTTTAAGCCAGCTCTGTAGCTGGCAAACTTTTGGCAAGTGCAGCAGCAGCAGCACAAACTTGGGCAAACTTTGTAAGCTGGAGCAGAGAAACAAAATCGATGCATTGCATAAGACATACTGGTAGGAGCGTCGACTGTGGAGCTACGAGTTGGTTTTCGGGTCAGTCAGTTCGTGTGGAAAGCCATTTAAGTGAGTTGAGTGCAATGAACCCGCCTAACGCTCAAGTGCTTAAGACATTAAGACACTGCCCCCCACGCCCGGCACCACCCCTTGCTCTACACTGCCACGTCACATAATTAGTCACACTTAAAAAGCCATTGGCCCAAGGTTTTTGCCGCTTGCCGTTAGTTGTATGCGAAATATGAGCAAAAGACAGACAGACAGACAGACAGACAGACGAAGTCAAAGCGCGGTAACAAGAGACGAGACCACATTGTGAGTAGGAAGCGCCAAAGAAATGCTTTAAAATGGCCAACTAAATGGTCAGCGAAGAGGGGCGTAGCCGGGGTAGAAATTCAAACGCTGCACAGTATGATAAATTGTTGACCCAAATGAACAAGCTTAAATACACAAAAATCTCCAAATAGCTCTATAGCTCAGGAGATTAATTTATGAAACGAAAATAAACGGCTACATTTTTTGATCCAACTTATTTTGTTGAACTCTATAAATGGAATATAAATATTTAGTAAAACTTTTTTCCTTACCCAAAATTGTATACTTTATCATTCCTGTTCATTAATTTATCTTCTATACGTTTCGGAGTATTGCTTTTTTTATTAGCTAACAATACCTTAGTATACGAGTATTTCAATGATATTATTAAGTTTTGAACCTCAATCAATCAATAACCATTCTTTTAATTAATTAGTCGAACTACTAAATTGAATAATAAATTAAATTTGACAAGTATTAAGAATCTTTGTCGTTTCTCATGTCTCTGCTTCATAAATATTTCCCAATTTAGAAGTTAATTTAATATAAAATTTAATTTGTTTCTAAAATTTCTATTCACAAATTTGTTAATACAGGAAATGGAAAGAAAAACTTAGACTACATTAATTTTGTTCTGTTTCTACCCAAGTTTACAAAATATTGGTAGCTTTAAAACGCAAGAAACATTTGCCGACAATATCGAACATCATTCAATAAGTTCTAAACAATCAATTAAATTTAAAAAAATGTAAATAATATTTAAAAAAAAATGTTTTAATATTATAAGTTCATAATATTAATAAAGTTTTTCAATATTTATGGGAAAGTGTAGTGATTTTCCAACATTGCAGTTGATTTGTTTGTACACCAAACTCTGAGCAACATTTTATGCAACGTATTTAGTGCTTAATCCCACTGTGCATTGCCGTTGTGCACTCGAGCAGTGCAAATGGAAAGCAAACAGCAAGTAAAAAAATCTGTGCAAAGAAAAGCATTGTACGTGCTTGGCGCTCGTGTGGCTGGACTTGGACCGCGGCTATACTCTTCCTTTAGGTATGCTAGGTCTGTTGGGTGGCGCTGGACCCACAGGCCAAACACATGGAATGATGAACGCGTAAGGCGGCAAGTGCCAGGCTTCGCTGCACTTGGCTGCAGTTACAAATGTAACGGTCAGGGCGCAAAAAAGGGCCTCTGCGTATCTGGAGCAGAAACGAGTGAAATGCAAAGAAATTGCTTTCTTCTATGCCAACAATTCAAATTGTTTCGAATGTGTGTGGGTGTGTGTGTGTGTGTGTAAACGACCCTCGGCCAACAGTGTAGGAGCGCTAGAGCTCCACGTAAACAATTTCAATAAATTTTTGCGTTCAATGTCAATTT